ACGGCTAGTTTGAAAATTTATTCGCGACAGCGGGAGCTCTGTGTTCCACGAAAATTAATATATTCCGTATATATATATATATATAAATGTGTGTGTGTATATATGGAACGTTACTCGAACATCGTTAGTAGGGGTATATTTTATGCAGATCCAAAATTATTCTGCGAGCTGGGTTGGACGAACGTAAATCGTTTATCGAGTAGAGTTTAAAACTCGAATTACGGTATTTCGATGAATGCACGTAAGTGCTTAGCCAAGCGGCTTTGTCGAAAATAGTTTCCCCTAGATTCATCCGGTTACCCGTTTATATGCATAACTAAACGTCATGTATCATTTTATTCCCCCCGAGAGAGTGAATGAATGAAAGAGAGAGTAAGTTAGTGAGATATATGGGATGGATAGATGGATAGATAGAGATGGAAAGAGTTTTAACTTTTACAGTTACTCAATTTTGAACGCACGTTCAGTACCAGAGATTGAAATAGTTTTGCCGATGTTACCTGTTTTCTCGGTATAAAAATAAAAAAAAAAGCAAATAAAAATAAATGAATAAAAAAATATAAAAAAGAAAAAAAAGAAAAGAAAGGAGGAGAACGAAACGAGTCGCTTTTTTATGTAAATATATTCGGGCATTTTTTCTTTTTTTTTTTTTCTTTTTTTCTATGTATATTATATACATACATACGAACAAAAAATCGTTGGGGGAGAAAACAATGTTAGTTCTAAATTCTTTTTCAGGACGATATATTATTTATCGTACATTTTTTTATTTACTAATATCATCCCCCGCCCCCCATTACTCTATTTTAATAAATTATTTTAATGAGATTTATTAATATTTTTTCTAATTTGTGAAATATTTGAGGAGAAAACATAAAATAGAATTTAAATAATACAGACACGTGCGCGCGTGTAATATTATACATATATAAATATTATATATTTAATTGTTTAAATTAAAAATTACATAGCATTATAAGGTTTTAATCCAATAAACGTGTAACACAAGTTAAGAAAAAATTAACGAAACAAGAGAGAGAAAAGTGCAAGAAACATTAACGTCGTGTTTCGAGTTAACTAATCGTTGTTAGGATATCGAAGCTAAACTCTAATTTCTTTATAGGAAAAGTAGGAAAGTAAGTAAAACGATGTTTTAAGTAAAGAAGACCGAACGAATATAAGGATGGTTTCACATGGCAACTTTAATAACGAACATTTTACTTTCCCCAAAGTTACATCGCAGAATACGAGTTTTGCTCCGAGGTACAAAGTACCTACGCATAGTAGAACAAGAAGAACAAAAAGAAGAATAAGAAGAAAAGGATGAAGAGAAAATCGAAGAAGGGAAGAAGAAGAAGAAGAAGAAGAAGAAGAAGAAAAAGTTTCGTTTAGGAAAAACGTCAAACGATCGAGAAAGCGTCGAGCTACATATTTCGATTTTTCATCGAAATTTTCTTTCATTCAACTTTATTATTAATTAAGCTTACATTAGCTATTTATCTGATTAGTATTTTTCAGTATATATTTTTTTTTATCGGTATTTTCAATCAATTAGTTTAATATTTTTTACAAACAAGGACATTCATTAAGCATAACAAATTATTTATTTTTCTTTTTTTTTTTATTTATAATTGCAATACATTCTATATATATAAAAAGAAAACAAAATATTTTACTATTCCAAGCACACAAAGAAGAAATTCGATATCAAAGGGTTAAAATATTTTTAAATATGACAATTTTTGTCTATTATTTAAATAAAATACCGATCTCTCTAGAATAATAACACATATTATTATTAAATTAATAAATCTTTTATTCTTTCTTTCTGTCTATCTCTCTCTCTCTCTCTCTTTCTTATTTTCTTTCTTAATTTAATCGTACAACAAATTAATTCCAATCGACTAGTTCACTATTATTTCAAAAATATATATAAACGCATGTAGATATTTAGTATAAATACATACAAGTGTTTGTTAAATCTATCGTAAATATTCTAATGTCAACAGAAGAATAGTAATTGCATACAGGAACGCGTTACCAGTATAATACTGGACTTTATATTTATTATTGCATCGATATCACTGGACCTTTGTGACTGAACAAATATATTCTCTCTACGCTACGTAGTTAAACTTTCTCGAAATGTAAACTTTCCTCCTCCTCCTCCTCCTCCTCTCACTCTCTCGCACACACTTTCTTTCACCCAATCTCTAATTCACCCTCTCTTTCTTTTACCCCTCTCTTGATGAAGGAACGTTACGCTAAAATTCTCGTTAAATAAGGTCGAAACTTTGAACGATTTTCACGAGTCTCTTTTATGAACACTTTGATAAAGTATTATAGAAAAGATTATGAGTGGTTATATTTATATCATAATTTCGAAAAGAAAAGAAAAGAAAGAAAAAAAAGAAGGAAATTAATTAAACTTTTCTAACTTTTATTCTTATATACATTTAATTATAATCTTAATAATTATTTTTATGTATGCATTATATTATATAAAAGACGTTTGTTTGTTTTGGTTCGTTTATAAATATTTCAAATGGTTAAACAGAAAAAATATTAATCATTAGCATATTAATGTATTACATTTTTCGATTCTATTTTTATTCGCCTAATTTATATCATTTAAATATAACATAGTCTACACCAATGATATAAGTATAACACTATAGTTTACACTTTTTTAAAAGTTGTTTAATCCATAGACGAATAAAGACAAACAAATTCAATAATTTGTAATAGAAAGTAGGATCAATGTTACACGAATAATAGACATGGGGGAGTTTGAAAAATAACACATGGGGACGATTACATCGAGTAAACCACATAAGAGTTTTTCGTGTTACTTTTATAAAGAAACGATTCAAGCGAGTCACGGAAATACGTGTTCTAAAATCTACATAATGGCCCCCTCCCCCTCTTTCCCGCCCCCTTCCCAATCCTAAGCTTTCAAAAACTCACCACCACCTGTCGACGAGGAGACCTTTCCCATTTCTACGAGATTGACTCGGTCTTCTCGGGGTTGGTTGGTTCGTATGTATGCGAAACTTTGCTCACACTCATTCCTTCTCTCTCTCTCTCTCCCTCTCTTTTTTTTTAACTCTCTTTCTACCACAGGAGAGAAAAAACAAGAAAAACGAACGAACGAACGACTTTCTTTCTTCCGAAACAATGGCCGAGCCAAGCAAGCTCGATCTCTGCCCGCCGGCAGCAATTTTCAAAATAGTTTTTTTCGCACTACTAGGTTCATGCACCTTAAAGAGTACTCTCTCGCTACTTTTTTTTTTCTCCCAGTTTTAAATACGCGAGAAGAATTCATTTTTTCATACAATTGCACTATTATGTATCATTTTATTATTATTATTATTATTATTCTTATTATTATATCATATTACGAATGGAACATAATATTCTCATGACTTATTTGTTGGATATATTAAAGGGACCGGAAAGTAATGTCAATATTTGTTTATCACTTTGCAACTCGTTGTGTATTTCAAAACGGTGTTTCAATTTATAAAAAGAAAAGCGACATTACTTTCCGATTCTTCTATATATATATATATTTTTTTTTTTAAATACATTGTCAGTGTTAAAAAAAAAAATTGGCATCAGTATTAACGCTAATACCATTTAAAATAGTTACAATGAAGTTAATGGCTCCTATAATTGATGAAATTCCTGCGATATGTAGAGAAAAAATAGCAAAATAACCACTCTTACTATAAATGAACAAAAAATTTATTGAACAAAATACTGATCGAATAAATGGGAAATATATTTTTATCGTCTTTATCCGATTATTTTTATCTTTCTCTCAGTTCTCGATTTATTTAAATTATTGAAAATTAGTAGACCATAATTTGGGATAAAAAGTTTGACGATCTCTAACTTATCTCGAAAAATATTTAACCATTATCTCTTTCTCTCTTTCTCGAGAAAATCATTTAATATTAATCATAGTTTCTTAAAATATATCTGAAGAAAATCAAAAGATGATCCTTTCATTTAATCCAAGATGATCCGATGTAAAATTTTCAAGATTATTCGATCGAAATAACCAATCGAGCAATAGGAGAAATGTTGTAATAGTCTTAGTTAGGATTAACGAAATCTTATCGAAATCTTATTTTTTTTTTGTGATTTCAGCCATGCGAAAAGCCAAGTGATTTTCGTGGAGAACAATGTGCAGCATTCAACGATGTACCTTACAGTGGACAATTGTTGAAATGGTATCCTCATTACGATCCTGAACGGCCCTGTTCTTTGATTTGTCGTGGCGAACAATCGCTTGATAATACCGTCAATCGATTGCAACAGCAACAAGAACAAGAACAACAACAACAACAACAACAGCAAGGCTCCAACAAGAAAACACTTAATCGTGATCCTCATGACGATCTACAATTTGACACAGACGAGACTATTGTTGTACAGTTAGCTGAAAAAGTCGAGGATGGCACTAGATGTTTTTTGGACGGTCATGACATCTGCATTAATGGCGAATGCATGGTAAAGTTTATTTGTGTTTTTTCTTATATATTATTATAATAATCATTTAATTCGCGTATGTAAATTTATGTTGTCATTGTATTTTCTCTATGGCGTAATATTTAAGTTTATTTAATATTTGTTTTATATAATATTATCTATGGGATAAGGAAATTATTTCTTTTTCTTATTTATTATTCGTATAATTATTATTAATATTAATAAAATTCATATTATTTTTGTTTCTCATGGAATTGATACTTTTTATAGATTATAACATTTTTTAGAATTAATATTGGTATAATTTATTTCTCACTACAGGATATTAATCGTTGAACGAAGATTAATTGTTGCAGTTTGAATAGATTTTGAATACGAATAAATATTAATCTACGTTGAATCGTATGTGTAAGGTTCGATACAACCAACGTGGCTTTAGGATAAAAATTGTTCGTACTTTCATACGTTCATCGACTTTCATAGACTTATCCTCGCGTGATGATATCAACGACCTACAGACCCGTATGAATTATCAACATTACCTCGTGCGACTGACCAGTTGTTCTCGTCATTTTCTTTCCCTCTTCTCTCCTTTCTTTCCAACGTTTCTAACGTTCTATTCTAGTCGTATACTTTTATTATTTCGGAGAATTCAACGTACAATCACATTCGTTCGAAACTTTTTATAAAGTAGATTTATATATAAAATCTTATAGAGAAGATACGAAAAACTGTAACTTTTGGAATAGTAAATCTTCAGAAAATAAAAAAAAAAAGTAAAAACTTTAATCAAAAAATTGATTGAAAATTTTCTGTTTAAAAAAAAAAAATGAATATAAATTTTCGTACATCGATTTACATAATAGATATTACATGAATACATAGGAACTATCGATCCGGTTGTAAAAGCAAATGAAACATTTTCGACTCTTATTCCATCCCTCTTGAACGTTTGTCATAGTTTCGAGAAAAGACGGAAGAGAAACATCAGTAGCAGATGTTTCATGCGTGGTTTGCTGAAGCCAGTTTGGTCTGTCCTAGGCAGATTCAATTCTACCAGTTTACCAACTGCATTTAACTTACCATGATCTCTCCTCTACGTATCGAAAGATGCATGGTATTGTTTTACCATTCGATTCACCTTCTAACCATCGTTAAAATTTTCTAACAAAATATTCGATCGATTAGTAGTGCATTGTGTCAACTTTAAAATAAAATATTTTTCAGTCGAACGATGAAATTCAAAATATTTGATCGATTAGTCAGAAAATATGATATTTTTTATGCATTTCGTTGTAATAAAAAAAAAGTAAAAAATATTAAAAGTTCTTAATATTTAATCGTTTTAAAAGAAACATTCGTAGATAGATGATACAAATTTAAAATATTGCGCCTGGAAATATGCAACCGTTGATACTTTGTAAACCCAAGTATTTATATTAGTCTGCTTTACATACCTGTATGAATGAATAGGTTTGCTGTCGTTAGGAGCTTAAAAAGTTTCTTACTGATAGATGACACTCTTATGCATAATTCTCGAATACGTAGGTATAACGTGTTGCCTGTTTTCAGGCGCGTATATAAAATAAGTATTATAAATATATATATTCCATAGAGAGAAAAGACTATAACATTTGAAAAGAAAAAAAAAATATTTCATCTAATTAAACAATCTTTCCGGAATATTAAATTCTCTTCCAACGAAAATTAGAAGAAAATATTGATATTACAGATAGAGATACATTCATTAATCATTTATTATGAATTTAAACTAGACAGACAACATATAGAACGCAATGGAATTAATTAAAAATTAAATCAAGATTGCTTAACGTTTTCTATGGTGCTCTGAAACGAGTAAAAAAAGGAACGGAAATTCTTCGAGTCTCGTCAAACGGAAGTCAAAACGAAGCGGAAGAGGAAAAGATGAACGGAAAGATTAAAAAAAGAAAAAAGTAAATGGTAGAAAAGAAAACTAACCTACCTCGTTGGATGTGTTTAAACGGATTTTCAAATTTGCTTTAAGACATTTTCCAACGTTTCGTTATTTTCTAGCTAAAAGTTTTTAAAAGAACTTTCCACTAACGAGCCTTCTTCTGCTTCTTCTGCTTCTTCTTCTTCTTCTTCTTCTTCTTCCTTCTAATTTATCTCTCTCTCTCTCTCTCTCTTTTTTTCTCTCTTTTTCACTCTTTTTCTCCTTCTCTGTTGCTCTGTTGCTAATATTTACCATAGGTTTGTCGGAAAAAGATGACATTAGAATTTTTCTATGGAAATATTAGTCTAATAGAATTCATATGTAAACATTCGTTCTCGAACTTATGTAAAAAGTTTTTTATATATTTTATATATATATGACGTCGTACTTCATAATCATGATGTAGAATTATATTCACCGCAATGTGTTCATTAGAACACTCAAGCTACCCCCACACTTTCTCATTCCCTACTTCCTTAACATTTTATCACGTATGCGCAACGAGTTTAACGCTATTTTTCATAAGAGCGTCATCACTCTTCTCCGAACTCTACTCTAGCGAGAGAATAATAACGAGTTAACGATTATTTTGAATTACGAGTCAAAGATAAAAGTTAAGAGAATTCTTATGAGAATAATATTATTAAGTACCGATTAAAAGTTTGGAATTATATTACTTAAATTTTCGAAGATAGAGATGTTTGTAAGAAAAAAATGGATAGCTTTGGATTAACTCGAAATGATTATCCTAAATTTTTATCCGAGTTAGCAATCGTCGTATCATCATATTTCTCAATCTTTCTAACATTCTAAAATACGCGTTGAATTTTTGTAACAACAATTTTCTCTTATACGCTTTTGAAGTTCTTCCCGATATTAATATTGGGTGTCGTATATGCAATAATTATTTTCAAATAATTGTGACTCTGAACACACGGCAAATAGAAAATAACGATGATAACGGAACATCGAAATCAAACTGATTAAACTGATATAACTAAATTTACCAATTAACAGAATTCGTGACGTCAACGAGAATGAGAAATATATGTGCATGACGCAGAAACACTGTTTAGAAATACAAACCGAGGATTATCATTTCGATTAATTAGGATTATAAATTGAAACCAAAATCAAATGGAACACGTGTTTCATCGAACCTTATTTTTCCCTTTTATTTTATATCCCCTATCCGCTCTCCTGAAAATATTTATAAGTATTATTTCTATCATTATTAACTACGCAGAATATATTCGAACATTTAATCACATTAAAAAAAAAAAAAAAAAAAAAATAAAAGAAATAATAAAGTGTTATGAGACAAACTTATAATGCACAGAGACAATTTTGGAATGTTTCTTTTGAATTTCATTTGAATTCAAGGAAAACTGAACAAAAATCTCGGATGGGATGGAAGTTGAAATAATACGGAAGAATCGTTTAAATGAAGCTAAAAAAGAAAAAAAAGAAAAAAAAGAATCGTGGAAGAATACTACTCGTATCGATTTTAAGCGGTAGAAACTCTTGGCAATCTTATTCTCTCTTTCTCTCTTCCCTTCTTTCAATCTTTCTTTATCTTTCGTTTTCTGTTTCTCGTTAGGATTCTCGTAGAATTCGCAAGAGTTGACGGTCGTCGAGAAAGGTAGGTAGGTAGGTAGGTAGGTAGATAGGTAGATAGGTAGGAAGGTACTGTGGAGAAAATAATTAACGGAATTTCATAACCGCGAGAATGAAGTTGGAAGGACAATATCTAATCAGCGGACGAGTACTACGAGTGTAATTAAGCGCGTAGCCGAGGCTCCGGTAAACGTAAACTGGCTTTGCATTATTAAAGGCTCGCCTGGTGCATCCTTTCTTCCGCTTCGGACGGACACGCTCGATGTGGCCCCAAGCCCACCACGACTCCCACTCGTTTCCGCTTTTGTATTATCTTCTACTCGTTAGAATTTGTCTTCTACCAGAGTTTCACTGGAAATTGCTTTCCCGCACTTCCCAATCCTCTCTCTCTCTCACTCTCTCTCTTTCTCTCTGTCTGTCTTTCTTTTTCTGTCTGTCTGTCTGTCTGTCTCTCTCTCTCTCTCTCTCTCTCTCTCTCACGTTCTTTCTCTTTCTCTCTCTCTCTTTCTCTGTCTCTCACTCCGTCTTTATCTGTTTGTCTTTCTCTTACTCGTTTCTTCCTGAACGCTCGTTCAATTGGAAAAAGACAGCTCTTACCTTTTGCCTACCCGTTATCTGTTCGTTTTTTACAAAAAATTCAATAAATATTAAGAAAAGAGAAATAGAATATCAAGAAAAAGGGAATGATATTTGAGTAAAATGTTGCTTTAATTTTATATATATTTTATATATATCATTTTTGCAATTTTAGTTGTTGTAATATTGTGTTCATAGTATTGTGTACTAGGAAATATTAGAAAAATGTTTGATTTAAGTTATTAGATTATTTTTTAAATCCGATCATTGTATTTTGTTGATTTACAAAAAATAAAAGAAAAGAAATCGGGAATCAATTGGAAAGGGAAAGAAATTGTACAACATATTTTCAATACTAGTCGTAGTATCGTCTATTAGAAGATATTTTTCAAATGTCATTATTAGATATTGTTTAAATTCCATAATTTTTCTGCTCGTCTAAAAAAAAATAAGGAAACTGAAAAAAGGAACGTTAGACGAGGAAAAAAATCGAAATAACGTATTTCTGAAATTAAAATGTAACTCTAGAAATTTTTTTATCTATTTCGGTCAAAAAATATGTGAAAAATATTATATATCCGAATGCTTATAAAATTTTTAAATTTCAATCGATAACCGTTTATTCGAACAACATATATATAAATATATATGTAGAGAGAGAAAGAGAGAGAGAGAGAGAGAACTAGAGAGAGAGAGAGAGAACTAGAGAGAGAGATAGAAATAAAAATAACAAATTGTTGAAACAGAAAACGTAATACTAGTCATGCTATTGTTCAAATCGAAAATATTTCAAAAATATATTTTAATTCCGAGATTTTAGAAAAGCCAATCGTTATCCATTAGTTTTAAAAAATCAACAAAATACTAACCGAAGAGATTAAAATATAAAAGTAACACATTGCTGAAACATAAAACGTTCTTTTAACAATTTCCATCATACTACTTATTTATATTCCTAGACTTTTCTTAACAAAAAAAAAACAAAATAAAAGGAATAAAACTATCAAAAGAAATATCGCGAGTATCTTAACGATAAAATAGGTAGATTTTTACCATAGTAAGATTCTTGAACGTCCAACGTAAATCACATTGTTTCCGCTAAAAATACAGAAAAACGATGAGAAGAAGTGAAAGTAGAAAAGAATGAAGATAGAAAGAGAGGATAGAAAAGCTTTCTCTCTCTCTCTCTCTCTCTCTCTCTCTCTCTCTCTCTCTCTCTCTGCCCTTTTCTCTTTCCCTATCTCTCTTGTGGCCTACAAATCTTATTATCGGAATATCCACGTTAAAAGGACTGAGAAAAGGTGTAAAAAGGAAGATGGAAAGGGTATTCCAAGATGTTGGAAAGGGCGTATCGTAAAGTAGTAAAAATAGTTGCAACGTTGAATACACAACGCGTGATACTGGTTGCCATTAATAAGGTACTTCGAATGCGCTCTTCGTATAAATACGATTAATAATCATAAAAGCGTTCTATCTCTCTCTCTCTCTTCATTTTATGGGAATAAGTAACAAAATGCAAAGTGCTACATTTTCATAAATAATATTCCCTTTGGAATATAAATATTTCACGTATATTATATATAACAAATTCTTTTTTTTATTAATTTATATCGAAAATAAATATAATACACTTATATATATTTCACGAAAAATATTCATTATATAAATTTTGTTTCTATTTTAAATCATATATTTATATTTCATATTGTAGCAGGCAAATTTTGATCAGTTTTATATATTTAAAATAAATAATACTGATATTTCTTTTTTATTGAAAAAATGCATAAAAAATATGTAATATTCTGTATCTAAAAGTAACACTAAAAAAAAAAAAATTATTTTCCTTATCATAAAAAACAATTTTTGAATATTTTTAAATATTAAATATTGAAATAAAATATAATAGTAGATAATATATTTCGTTGTCTATATTATTCATTCCAATGTTAATTGCTGTTCGACCAAATAATATACCTACAATATTACGCATAAGCCAGTAGAGAAAATGAAATAATAATGAATCGATTGTATTATTAACAAACGTCAAATGTGTTCAATTAATCTATACGCATTAATAATAAGTTGAATTTCGACGATTGAATTATTATAAAATACATATATGAAGAAAAAGCACCATATAAATATATTTTCAATATTGTTGATTCAATGGATATACAGATAGATAGGATTATAAAAACGACAGTCGATATGGGGTGGTGGCGGTGATGACGGGATAGAGAAAACGAGTGAGGAATATATGGGGAGAGGGAAAGGGGTGGGGGAGGGGAAGGATGCTATTAAATTTCACCATCTTTCATTTCGCACGTTCGACCGACTTTTCTCCCCCTTTTCTTCCAGCTTGTTTACTTAGAGAAATAAGAGCTTGCTTCGATGGCCCCTATTTTTCAATTACCGCACTCCAACCTGACATTCTATAACCTAGCTAGTGTAAATCTAATCTCGCAGCACCAATAGAAAGCGATGTTAAAATCTATAACGTTAACTAAATGTCCGACAAGAAACTTAACACTCATTCTTATTTTTATATTCAAATTCAATACTATTATTTCGATTTATATTTGTATTCATAAATTTTATATACACATTTTTTTTTTTTTTTTTTTT